CCTCAGCCGCGACGGGTACGACGACCCCGTCGCAATGTCCCACCTTCGCGATGCACGGTGGGAGGCGCTTCCGCCTCGTGAGCCTCCGGTAGCCGCCCTGGACTTCGACTGCCTGTTCACTTTGCCTCCTTGGAAACAGAAACGCCAATGCGTGCTGAGCGTGCTTTTGGCCGCTCTTTGACCGGGGTGCAGTTTTTTCTTTTTCCAGACAGCGTGGGCGGTGGTGGGTGCATCTCCCTCTCAGCGTTGAATGGTTTGGTCGATCAGGTTACCCTGACCGTACACGGGGCTCCTGATATCGAGGTCCCCCTGCCACCACAGGTCAAAGAATGCAACTGGGGCACTCCTCCTTCACACCCCACCCTCTCTAAGATAATCGTTCCTATCAGTTTGGGAAGGTAGGGTAGGTGCTGATGGGGATTATCGTCGGGAGGGGAGCGCGCACCTCGTCGCAGCCCTCTCGGCCCGAGGGGTGCGCAAGCGAGTGTTTTTTTTCCGATACTCCCCGCCCACCCATTCCCCATTAAACACCTCCCGTAGTACTCCGTTACGTTGGACTGTGTGCCGGCATGCCAAGCCACCGGCTGGGCCTCAACCTCCGTGGGACCCGTTTGGTCCAGCCTGCCCAGCTACAGCCGGCGATTGTCCTGGGCTCAGGTTTCGCAGGGGATAGTGGTCTCCATGCTGTTTTGCGGGGGGGGGGGATTTGATCGATCAGGGTGCCCCTCGCCGTACGTGGGGCTCCTGATACCAAGCTCCCCCCGACACCACAGGTCAAAGATTGCGTCTATGGCGCTCCTCCTTCACACCCCACCCTCTCGAAGATAATATCAATCCTCATCCTCCCTCCCCATCCCCTCCCCTGAAGAAGAACTCCTTCCTGTCGCTCCCCCATACGTGCTGGTAGGGCGGGCCAGGCGTCTCGATTGAGACATCCTCACCATCTATGATCCCGAAGGTCGAAACTTGCAACTGTTTCAAGGATGGGGGCGGGTAAGTTTCAAACCGGTGTTATCGCCATAACGCCGCGTGCATTCGTTTTAAAAATCGTACAACAGCTTAAAGGACGGAGGGCGGGCCCTTTTTCAAAATGTGGCTCTCGCCTTCGGCGCCGCGCGCAGCCGTTTTCAAGTTAACGCAAGTTAAGCGATGCGTAATGGTGTTCGGGCAAGGCTCATGATTGTCAGGACGCAACATGTACTTGGATTCGCGGTGTTGAACTCCCAGAACTGGCGCTCTGGTACGATCTGGGGTTGTCAGGAGGCAAGAGCCACGTTGATTCGCGTCGTTGAGGTCCCAGGAATTGCGCTTTGGCGCGATTGAGAATTTTCGCGATGTTGTTGTTCAGCCAGGCACTTCCCGCAATGAAAACGAATTTGTGCAGGGAGACATATAATAAGGGAGTATGGAGGGAGGGTTGATCGCAACATCGCTTATGCGCCTTTGGCTTACACTGGTCCTCCACTTCCTCCTCCTCCTCCTCCTCCTCCTTCTCCTCCTCCTCCTCCTCCTCCTCCTCCTCCTCTTCCTCCTCCTAAGCTCATTGTGCTATCAGACCAGGAGCGCCAGCCGACTGCGTGCGACAACCAACAGGGCCTGTTCGATTGCCGTGTGCTTGGGAGATCTCGCGGTCCCAGCGCTTCTCGCTAAGGACAGACACGCCTGCACACGATGCCCACGTCGTCTTGGAACAGCAAAGACACTCGGCACGACATTTTTCTGACAGGCACCCGGACGGCAGACATCGACAGCTGCTGTTGGCACGAGCGTGGGAGCATGCGTCGTGATGCACGTGCACATGCGATGTGCACTGGGACCGCGGCCGCACGTTGCTCATCTGCGCGAGGCTCGCGCGCAGGCCGCCGCCGGCGCGCGGAGCCCTTCCCCGCGCGGGGCCTGCACGCGGGGGCGTTGCTGTCGGGGGGAGGAGGAGGGGGAAGAGGAGGAGGAGGAGGAGGAAAGGGAAGAGGGGGAGGGGGAGGGGGAGGAGGAGGAGGAGGAGGAGGAGGAGGAGGAGGAGGAGGAGGAGGAGGAGGAGGAAAGGGAAGAGGGGGAGAGGGAGGAGGAGGAGGAGGAGGAGGAGGAGGAGGAGGAGCGCAGGGCCCGATGCTACCACTGCGGGCGCAGGCTGCCCCGTCCCCGACGGAGACCCCTCCGTCGTCGGAGGCATCGGCCAGCAGCCCCCCCAGCGAGGACTGGTCGAGCGCCAGCCACCGCCAGCGCTCCCAAGGCCTCGCCTGGACTCGGAGGCGACGACAGGGGCGAATAGCCCGCCCAGGGGGGAGCCCTAAATGCAGTCAGGGGCGCCGATGATCCCTGTCTTCGAAAAGGCTCCCGGTCGAAAGCGCGTAATGCCCGCCCCTGGGCTATTCGCCCTTGTCGTCGCCGCCAAGAGGCAGCAACAGGCTCGCCGTGAGCACTCACGTCCAGAGGCGAGGAGGGCGAGCGCTCCAGCGCGCCCGCCTGGCACGCCGCCGATGACGCCCGCGGGCCCTTCCCCGGCGGGAATGCCGAGCGCCCCAGCGACGTCGCCATCACCACCGTCCACAGAGGAGAAGGACAGAGACCGCCTACGTCGCTCCCGCGGCCCCGAACTGCACGAGCACCTCCGCAGCCGCGCTCAGCCCGCTCGAGAGCGCTTCGTCGGCCGAGAGCGTTCCCGCCGCCGACGCCGCACGGCCACGTCGGCGCCTCCGAGACCCTCGGCCAGCCCTGGCGGCCCAAGGCGCCCAGGCTGTCGCGCGTCAACATAGGCCGCCCTGCCGCGCCCCCGCCACCTGAAGGGCCGCCAGCAACAGCCCTCAACGACCTCGACGACGAGGAGCCCGGGGAGAAGGCGCGGGCGCTCTCGCCAGACACCCTCGCCCACGATCGGATCGAGCAGTTCCTGGCGAGCTGGCACGTCTCGCAGCGCGTCCAAAAGGATGTGGTCCGCACGCGCATCTGCAGCGTCGACGGCATGGAACCCACTACGCGCGTGAGCTTCAGCCACGAGGCCAGGCTGGCTCGCGGCATCTGCCCGAGCCAGCGGGCGGCCTCGCGCAGGCCGACGATCGAGGCCTGGGAGATCTCAGCACGCGTCGTGATGTCCTGCCACAAGTTGCACCACTCTCCTCCTCCTCCTCCTCCTCCTTCTCCTCCTCCTTCTCCTCCTCCTCCTCGAAGAACGTATTCGACCCGAGCGAGCGCCACGCGCGCAGGCGACACCGGCAGCTCCACGGCCATGAGCGGCCAGGGCACGGCCCAGACCCCCTGCTGGAGCCTGACGGGCTGGACGACCCAGGCGCTGCGCCGTCCAGCGCGGCGTCAGCCACTCACGACCTCCACGGTGGTGCAGCGAGCCCGAGGTCGAGGTCCGCCTCGCGTCGGGGCTCGTGTCGGGGCTCGCAGCCACCCCTGCCAGAGCGGTCTCCTCCACGGCACCTGGACGAGGAGCGTTGGAGGCCGTCGACGGCGTGGCACAGGAGTCCTCTGCGCCGGCAAGCTCGCGGGGTCACAGCGAGTACCTGATGAGCAAGGGCACTTGCAAGTGCAAGGGCACGGGCAAGGATTTGAACAAGAACAAGGCCGACAGCAAGGGGGCCGCCTCCACGGACGACAACACCGCGCCCGCCGAGCCCAGCACGAAGGTCAAGAAGACGAGGCGCGGCGGCGAGAAGGCCAAGCGCCGCCGCGAGGCTGGTCGCGTGGCGGCGCCAGGTCTTCAAGCGGAGGAGTCCGAGGGGCCGACCAGACCTCCAGAGCCGCCTCTTGGCGCAGACGCTGCCGAGGACGCAGACCCCACGGGCGAAGAGCTTGCAGCTGAGCAGGAAGGCAGCTCGTCGAAGGAGCATCCGGAACACCCGATCAAGGCTCCCACTGACGACTAGCAGGACCGCGATTGGGAGCACTCGGCGAGCGATGCGGCTGCGCGGTGTCTACGCACGCCCCTCATGGTCCACCCTTCCTTACTCCCTATTCTCACGCTACTCGGTCAAGGCTACTCCTTTCGCCATCTTCGCCCCGACGCGACTCCGAGCTTCACCTTCGCCAGGCAATCTGCTGCAGGCTTTCGGATTTTCAGTCCGCAGCTCGGAGTCCACAGACACCGACACGGCACTGGGCGGGCGCACTCGCGCGAGTTGTGCCCAGTTCTGTTCGTAAGAGTGAGTTCCCGAGCATTGTCGGCGAGCCCGCTATCCGCCTGGGCCAGCGCCTTCCAGATGGCGACGGTGTATCCTGGATGGGTTGGGAAGGTCCGCGGGGGTTGGACAGCTCTGGCTTCCTCTTTTCTCGGTTCCTCTGCTCCGCCAGAACTGTTAGATCGCCCACGAAATCCCGATTCAAATAGAATGCCTGGTCACTGTTTGGCTCAACGCCGGCGCGTGCAACAGCATCTCTGATAAGGAAAAGAGCTTCGTTATCGCAGTTATTGCCGCCACGTCAACCTTCTCGATCCCACCAACCCCCGCAATTATAGTTCCTCTTCCTCCTCCACCTCCTCCTCCTTCTCTTCATCCTCATCCTCCTCCTCATCCTCATTCTCATCCTAGTCCTCCTCTTCCCCTCTTCCTGGATCCCAGAGGACGTGTTTGCTTCTCCCCCTCCCTTCATATAACTTGTAAATGTTCCTTTTCCTCCTCCTCATCTTCCTTCTCCTGATCATCCCGCCCTCCCTCCCTCTTGCTGTCTCATCATCCTACTTGTGTCTTCACTTCCTCCTAGTCCTCCTCCTCCTCCCCCTCCTCCGCATCTTCCCCCTCCTCCTCCTCTTTCTCCTCCTCCTCCTCATCGTCTTCCTCCTCCTCCGGAACCCACACGTCCACTCCGCAGCCCCTCTCCTTTACCCCTTCTTCCCTACATCCCACCTCCTACCCCCTCCCTATTCTCTCCCCAGCTCTTCGGCTGACGACCATGACCACGTCCACGACGACGGCGGCGGCGAAGGTGGCGATGACGACAACACCGACGGCGGCCGCGACGATAGCGAGGCCGACGACGGCATTGGCGGCCATGAACAGGCCGATCTCCGCCGTGGACAGCGCGCCTATATCGGCGCCCGCCGCCGCCGCGCTGAAGTCTTCGCAGCAGCGGACGGGGCCGACGCATGTGGAGAGCATGTGGAGGAGAGCCGGGGCCTCCTTGGGGGCGGGGGGTCGGACGAGCGGGAAAGGGGGGAAGTGGAGGGGGAGGTATGGCGGAAGAGGAGGATGAAGAGAAGGAGGAGGAGGACAAGGAGGAGGAGGAGGAGGAGGAGGAAAGGAGGAGGAGGACGACGAGGACGAAGACGAGGAGGAGGAGGAGGAGGAGGAGGAGGAGAAGGAGGAGCAGGGATAGGAGCACGAGGCGCGGTAGAGTCACCAGAACGCAGAGGATGGGAAAGGAGGGGTCGGCAGCGACCAGGAACAAGTCGGGTCCAGAAATGTTGCCCGCGCGTGGGCGACATCGCCATTCTGAACGACGGGAACACAACATCGATCTTGAATTGTTGTCCACGCTACAGCTGGAGCACTTGTTCAAGAAATGGTAACACTCCGGCCGAACGAAAGCCGCACCACGTATCCCAAAATGACGTCCTGCGCGTGAAAACAGTACGCGCGAGAGGGGGCATGGGATCGTGGTGTTGATACATATATATACATACAAATAAGTGTGTATGTATATATACACAAGGAGGAGGGGGAGGAGGAGGGGAAGGAGGAGGAGGAGGAGGAGGAGGAGGAGGAGGAGGAGGAGGAGGAAGAGGAGGAGGAGGAAGAGGAGGAGGAGGAGGAGGAGGAGCAGGAGGGTGATCAGCGGTGGGCAGAATGCACAGCAGGAGCAGGAAAAGGAGGAGGAGCAAGCGGGAGCGGGTTAACAGGAAGAGAATTGGGGGAGAAGGAGGGGTGGGAGATGATGATTGGGAAGTTGGGGAGGGGCAGAGGAACGACAAGGAGGGGGAGGTAGACGGGGGAAGATGCTGAGGAGGAAGGGGAGGAGGGCGAGCAAAGGGGAGGAGGAGGAGGAGGAGGAGGAGGTCGGCAGGAGATCGGCATGAGGAGTACGCAATCGTACTATGTGGCTCGCTAGTGGCTATACACACACACACTCACGCATGCACGTACGCATTAGCTCTAGACATGGCTCTGTTGGCATCCCGCCAGTGCAGGGCCTCCTGTACTTTCTTGGGCATGCCCTTAGGATGGGGCCACAAGCCCCGGGCAAGTCGTCTAAGATGATGCTCTCATTTAGCCGTTTTATGGCCACACTCTTCAGCCAGAGATCTTGCCATGAGACTTCTACAGCCCCCCACAGGAGAAACAGAAACACAGATCGAATTGGTCTACATACAGGAGGGTGTGCGACGAGTGCAGTGCCTTCCCACCCAGACTGAGACCCGACGACGACGACCCTCCCGCCCCAGTGCGAGGCGCGCACACCGCGCCAGCCTGTGCAGATTGCTCGGTCCTGCACTCCGACTTGGCGAACCACTCCGGGTCCGCGTGCAAGGCGGAGCGCTCAAGATTCTGCAATGCGACCTCGCACACACCCGCTCAAGATGGTGGTGCGACGAGGCAGTCAGAACAGCCTGCCTGCACGCTCTCGGGGCCCTGGGCTCCGCCTCCGACTTGATGGGGTCGAGAGCCAAGCAGTCCAAATTGGCGCGGACCGCCCTGCAACGCACGAGGAACGCCACCGCGTCGACCCAACCAACCTCGGGGCTTGGCGGTGGCTTTACTCAAGACCTCGGCGGCAGCTTGGCCCGCGAAACGTCGGCGCATTCATGTCCTGCATTCTGCCAGAGCTGGTACTGGGGATGAGGAAGAGGAGGAGGAGGTGGCGGAGGCGGAGGCGGAGGAGCAGCAGGAGGAGGAGGAGGAGGAGGAGGAGGAGGACACAGGGGGAGCAAAACAAGCGAGAGACTGAAGGAGATGGGAGCAGCGGGAGGGACGAGAAGGAGGAGGAGGGGGAAGGACGAGGAGGAGGGGGAGGGAGGGGAAAGCAAGAGGAGAATGAAGAGAAGGAGCGGGACGGGGACGGGGAGAGGAGGAGGGGGGCGCGCCCCGCCCTCCCTGGGGCCTCCGGGGGATCGCTCCCGCGGCCCGGCGGAGTTTTTGGCCAGGACCCGGGCTGAGAACGGGCCTGCCGGGGGCGGCAAAGAGGGGGTTGATGACTAGGGTAGGTTTGCGTCGTGTCGACCAGCGGCGACCCCAGCGCGGGCGTTCAAGGTTGAACGCCGCCGGCGACCCAGAATCGATCGATGTTGAACGATTGGACGTTGCGGAGACGGCCGATCGTTCAAGGTTGAACGATCCCTGCGGTGTCAAAAACCAACGCTGGGGTCGGCACGACACGAACCTGCCGTAGGGGGGGTGGATATCATGGCGGGGGCCATGACATTTTCCCAGATTGCATGGCGCCTCTTCTTATTTCAACATGTCCCTGCCCCCCCCCCCCCCCCTGGGCCGCGCACATGCCGCCGGCCACGATTTGCGCCCCCCCCTCTTTGACGCCCCCCTCTTGGCCGCCCCCGAGCCTTGGGGTGGTCGACTTTGCCAACCTCGGGGGGTCCCCTCTATGGAAACTCAGGAAACTGAAGACGTCCAGAGTCCTCGTTCCCCCGTGCTCGATCCTTGCTCCCCTACCTCCTGCTTGGAGCTTAGAGCTGGTGGCGCTAGTGTCGTGCAGACGCCGCCATCCCCCCCCCACTCAAATCCAGGGGCAGTCGCCCCTGGGGGGGGGGGGAGCAAACTAAGTAGGTGTCAAAAGAAAAAGGTGGGCAGCGGACCGACAGCCCCCCAGGGGCGAGGTAGCTAAGTCCCTCAGCACCCTGATGGGGGGGAGGAGAGAGGGAGAAATGGGAGAGGGAGGGAAACGATGGGAGAGGGAGGAGGAGGGCGTGATTGCAGGCGTTAGCAGGGTTAGAGCCAGCTGCGGCGGCGGTGTCGCGGTGAGGTCGTGGCAATTCGGCTTGCGGCGCGTGTTGGTGGCGACTGTGGGCCAGGCCACTCTCGCGAAGGGGACAGGCGCAAAGGATCCTCCCCCCACCCATCGGAAGCCTCATTGGAGGGCCCACAGCTCCAGCAAGGGAGCCCTCACGCGCCGTCACCCGCCGAGGCGGGCGAAGGGCTCCCGAGGGAGGGACCCGTGGCCGCCCAGGGGGGTCCACGGGGTGTGGGGGGGGTTTGCGCCTTCCGCGCTGGCGGCCAGGCTGCTGAGTTGTGCCGGCAGCCGCCCAGCGGCCAGGTGCCGCTCCGCCCTCCCACGCGAAGCCCACCCCAGTTGCCCACCTCCCTCCACATCGCTGGAAGGGCCCACTGACCTGATGGAGGACGGCGACGTGTGGAATCCTCAGCATAGCTCATCCCGCCACAACGCCTTTTCAGTCGGACCCGCCGGGATGTTGTCAGTGAGACCCTTAGAACGCTGTCAGTGACTCTTCTGCTGCCCCGCAAAAGGTCTCGTCAGCCACCCCCTTGTGGCCTGTCACGGTCTTACTGCACCATGGACGAAAAATGCCAACGGCCTTCCCTGGCGTTCACGGAGAATGATATCGAGGATAAGAAACAGTAGAAGGGATATGACCAGGCAGAGGCAGGAAGAGGAGGCAGGGAGGAGAAGGATAGTACAGAGGACGAAAAGATGGGGAGGAGGATTACCGGGATCAGGATCGGGAGGATGAGCAGGGAGAACAAGGAGTAGGAGGAGGATGGTCAGTGCATAGTGAAGGGTAGCATCAACGCACGTGTGCGGCGCATCCCCTCTACAGCTTTGATCTGGGGGTGGCATATAGCGTGTACAGTATATGAGGAAGGAGAGGATCTGGACAGGAGGATGATGATGATGATGATGATGATGATGATGATGATGATGATGATGATGATGATGATGATGATGATGATGATGATGATGATGATGATGATGATGATAATAACGAGGAGGAGGAGGAGGAGAAGGAGGAGGAGGAGGGCGAGGGGGAGAGGGAGGTGGAGGAGGAGGAAGAGGAGAAGGAGAACGAGGGGTAGGAGGGGGGAGCATGAGGCGGAGGAGGAGGAGGAGGAGGAGAAGGAGGAGAACGACAGGCAGGAGGAGAACGGGGAGGCAGAGAGGATCCCCGCGCCGCCCCCGCTCCGAGGGCCGCCTCGGAGAGCAGGCCGCTCTTCCGGCGCCCTGCGCTGGACGCGCTGGCGCCGCGCCCGGCCCCAGCGCGGCGCGTCGTTCGACGTTCGTCGTCGTCTTCATTGTCATCGTTGCCGTCGTTCGTTCGCCGTCGCCGTCGTTCGTCGCCATCTGTCGCTCGTCGTTCGTCGTTGTCGTCCGTCGTCTGTCGTTCCTTGTCTCCGTCGTCGTCTGACATTCGTCGTCTTCGTCGTCGTCTGGCATTCGTCGTCTGACATTAGTCGTCTTCGTCGTCGTCTTCGCCCGTCTTTCGTCATCGTTCGTCGTCACGTTTCGATTGTCGTCGTCGTTCGTTCTCCGTCCTTCGTCGTCCGCCGCGGTCGTCGATGAGGATCGAGGTTCGAAGATGCAGTTGCGAGTGCTTCTTGACGTTATTGTCCGCTCTTTGGGGCCTCTTGAGACCTCTGGTTACTGGCAGAGGATGTCGTCGACGCCGTCGCTGGTCGTCGTCGGTGTCATGGTCGTCATCGTTCATCGGTCATCAGTCGTCCTTCGTCGGTCGTCGTCGTCTGAGTTGTCGTCGGAGATCGTGGTCCGAGGTTTCTTTGCGTTGTTGACCCTTCTTTGGTCTCTGGAGGCCCCAGCAGGAGTTGTCGTCGTCGGGTGCGGGGCTGCTGGGTTGGAAGGGGTGTAGAAGAGGGAGGAGGGAAGAGGGAGGAGGGAGGAGGGAGGGGCGAGGTGCGCGTGCGCCATATCTGACATCCGACCCATCCCGCCCATCCCCTCGACCTGGATCCCCCAAATTGACCCCATCGTATTATGAGCAATCAGGAAGAAGGAGCTGTGTAGACGGGAGAAGGAGGAGCAGGAGGAGGAGCAGGCGGAGGTGGCGGGTAAGCAGGAAAGTGAGCAGGAGGAAAAGGAAGGGGACGAGGAAGGATGATGAGGAGCGGCAGCAGCAGCAGGCGCAGGAGGAGCGGGACGAACACGAGGACTTGGAGATGGCTGAGGAGGGGACAGGAGGGGGCGACAACGGCGGGAAAGGCGCTGAAGCCAGCGCAGCAGCGGGAGCACCAGTGGCACGAAGAATGGTGAGCCAGATGCGCAAGCCAGAAGTATGCGGGAGGGGCGGCGCCCCGCTCGCACAGTGTCCGGTGAGAGGGGGGAGGTGCATTCATGGCGGGCAGCTCGTGAGGAGGCAGGAGGGAGGGAGGAGGGAGGAGGAGGGAGGGCGAGAGGGTGGAAGGTTGTGGTGGAAGGAGTCAAGTGGGAGAAGGGATGGGGAGGAGGAGGAGGAGGAGGAGGAGGAGGAGGAGCAGCAGCAGGAGGAGGAGGAGGAGGATTGCCTCCTCTTTTTCTTCCGCCCTCCGCGTCGTCCCCCTCCTGGCCTCTATTCTAGCCTGGTGGGGCGCAGGGGGGAACAGGAAGTACTGTGGAGGAAGTAGGAGGATGATGATGATGACGATAGCGACGACGATGCTGATGGCGGTGACGATCACGATGGGGGGTTAAGAATGTGATGATGATGATGCTGATGATGTTGATGATGATGATGGTGATGGCGATGGTGATGGTGATGGTGATGGTGATGGTGATGGTGATGGTGATGATGATGGTGATGGTGGTGATGACGACGATGGCGGTGGGGATTGTGATGATGACGGTGATGGTGTCGTGATGGTGACCATTATGATTGTGGTGGAAATGATGAAGATAAAAATGATGGCTATGATGATGCTAGTGACGGTGCTGATGGTGATGGTGCTACTTGTGTTACATCATCTCCGAACTTCTCCGCCATCTTGGTGCTCAGAATGGAGGCCGGGCTGCGCGCCACCTCCATGAGCTTGATTCCCCCGTGGGCTAGCAGCGCGTCGAGGTCCTCCGTGTGGCCATTCTCCTGGATGCACTTCGCCAGCCAGCGTTGCTTCCTGGGATCCAGCTCCTTCGTGCTGTTCAAACCCCGGCCAGACCACTCGGACTGGAACCCACTTGGATGAAGCTCTCGCCGTTGGAGCTCGTGGAGCTCGGCTGACCCTCGAGCTTCTCCAGTCGTTGGCTGATCTGGCTCAGGGTGGTCAGCATCTGCTGCTGGATGAACTGGTTCGTGTTCTTCTCCTCCTGGGCTGCGGCCTCCAGCCTCTCCTGCTTCTCGAGCTCGTCCTCCATCATCACGTCCATCGTCCTTCGGCGGGATGACCTCGCGCCCTCTCGAGCCTTCTGAGGCTCCATCGGGACCTCCCCGGGGCCCCTGGCCATCTCCTCTCTCACGTGGACAACCTCCTGCTCATTGAGCCGCGAGACAAACCTGGCCAGCCCTCAGCTGCCCCCAGCGCCCCCCTCTGCCTGGCACCAGGCCGCGTAGGAAGGGCACTGCCTCAGGACCTGCTGGTACATCAGCGCGCCATACTTCCCGAAGCCCATGTAGTCGGTCGGCTCCGGCGGGTGCTTCTGGAGAATCGCCTTGCGGATCGAGAGCTTGAGCGAAGGGTTGGTCATGCTTGGTGTCGCCGCGTGGGCCCTGACCTCCGTCGCCTTCGTGATCAGATGGGCCTTCTGCGTGGAGTTGAGGCCCTTCATCTCGATCTGCGCTTTCGTCTCTGCCCCCGGGAACAGGTTCTCCTAGGGGATCTGCTTGAGCTCGTCCACGATCAAGGCCGGGCTGTAGGGCAGGCCAAACTCCTGGAGTAGTTGCGAGACCTCCGCCTTTGTGGAGTCCCTGCACCGCACTGCGTGACGTTGGCATCCTACACGTTCGAGCCGCACTGGCAGATCGCCCTGGCGCAGGCGAGCGGCACGGCCCCACGGAGGAGGTTGCCCCAGCGCATCGCTCTGCCATCGGCGGCCCTTGGCCGGGTATATGTAGGATCCGGAGGATCAGGAACTGCTGGCTGCTGCACGTTAACGCCTGCGTTCGACGCGGAATGCCTCACCGGGCTCGAGCCTGAACGGCTGCGGACGTGCCCGGGCTCTCACTGCGTGCCCCGACCACCGTCCAGAGGAGAGCTGGGGGTGACGTCGCCGAGAGGAGCAGATGATGATCGGTCCACGCTGTAAGAACGGTTTTTTGAAGGCAGATCTGCCTTCCAAAAACCATTTTTTGAAGGCAGATCTGCCTTCAAAAAACCGTTCTTACAGAGTAGACCAGTCTTTCCTCCTTGCTGGGGGTGACGTCGCCGAGAGGAGCAGATGATGCTCGGTCCACGCATGCTCCGACTCGCGCTGCGCCTCCACCCGGGCCGAGGTCTGGCCCCCGGCATTGGCGCCGCGCACGCCGTGCCCCACTCGGAGAGGCGGTGGCAGGTCATCTTGAAGTGCTGCAGCTCGGCTGGGCCCCGGACCCTCTGCTCGAGCAGGTCGCCCACCAGGCTCATGCAGTAGTGTCCAGGGGCCAAGGAGGAGGAGGAGGAGGAGGAGGAGGAGGAGGAGGAGGAGGAGGGGGAGGAGGAGGAGGAGGAGGAGGGAGATGGAGGAGGAGGAGGAGGAGGAGGAGGGAGATGGAGGAGGGTGTCCGCCGTCCAGGGGCCCCTCTAGCTGGATCGGGATACCCGGGGCCAACTTCACAAACACCGCTGCTCCCGCGTCGCAGTCCATGACGGCCCCCAGCTTCTTCAGCACCTCATCGAGGATCGGGACATCCTCCGCGAAGCCGTTGATGGAGATGTCACCTTCCATGCCCCGGCCAGTGATGCCGAACTCCACCTGGCCGTAGGCTCGCTCCTTCTTGCCGTTCCCGAACCTGTAGACCGGCCGGTAGCCCCGGCTCACTTCCAGTAGCCTCGTGTCGCCGTACATACTTATCCGTGTTCTTGCGGGCCGAGGTGTCGAGCGCACGCTCACCGCCCATCGCGCCCGCGTAGCCTAGGTCGACAATCCCCTTGCCCTCCTGGATCGCCTGGTCCGCAAACATCGCCTCGCATCTCGAGTCCCCTGACTCCCGCTCGGCAACCATCGACGCCACCAGGTTGAACTCCAGCTCCTTCCTGCAGTTCGCCACCTTCGCGCTAGCCTCTGGCGGGCCCGCCGCCCCGGGCTTGAGCCGGGGGTCGTGGCGATCCTGGCAGTCCTGTGTCCCGTGAGCGCCGCTACACTTAGCACGCTTCTTCTGTCCCCTGTTCGGCGGTAAGTCCTGGCCCCTGGCGCCGCACGAGGGAGGCGTCGGCCGACGTGATCCCGCTGGGAATCCACGGCCAGCTCCCTTGCCCTCAGGCCGACCTCCACGGTAGAAGGCTCTGCCCAGGCGGCTGTCCGCCTGCGCCTCGCGGGCCTGGCGGAGGGTGCGCTGGGCGGTGTGGGGCGCCGCCAGCGCCTCCGACTCCTCGTACTGCGCAGCCAGGAACGCCCCGATGTCCTCGTCGGCGGCCTCCACCTGGTCTGGCTCCTCCGCGAGTGGCTCTAGAGGTTCCCGATCAGCTGCGAAACTTCCTGCATTCGGTTCGTCCTCTGCGCCGTCTAGCCATGTCCGATCATCCTCTCCGAGCTGGGCCGCGCACGCCCTCGGGCACTTGGAGTGTCCATCCCTTTCCGCCAAGTCGTCGCCCTCCCAGCTGGAGATCAGCTTCTCGCGAACCAGGTTGACGCCCAGTGAGCCTCCCTTAGCGGTCATGATCGCCGCGCGCTCACGGGAGTCGAGGCCAGACCGCACAAGCATCAGCCATCCGAGGATTATCGCCAGGAAGACCTCGGGGATGCTCCCGAGCTCCTCCTCTGCCTCGGCGTCTGGGTCAGCAGCACTCCAGCGTTGAGATGTCTCAGTCGCGTCGTCGGGCAGGCCGTCAGTGTACTCCCACTTCCATTCGAATCCGTCCCATGGCCATCCCCTCTCGACCTGAATGGTCTCTCCGGCCTTCTCCCCGACAACGAGCTCGGCACTGGGACCGCATGCCCCAGGGCGCGCGCCAGCGCGCGCCTCAGGTACTGGTAGCCTGTCTCGAAGCGGTCGGTCCATTGCTGCACGGGCCCCATCTTCCGGGGTTTCGTCTTGATCAGGAAAGTTTCCAGCTCCTGGCCCACGTCTGGGACGGCTTGACGTGAGCACCGTCGCTCTAGCCATGCCAGGAGCCGCTCT